AATACGATATAATTGAAGAAGGAAGTTTTACAAAAATCGGGGGTGGGTTTACACATCATCGTGTGGCTTTGTTTATGTGGGTGAGCATTATCTCCCTGCTCTAATAAACATTTCCCAAAAATTCATTGTGTTTTTTGGACTTGTAGATTTGGGGCGCTGGAGTGGTAGAGGCAGCTGTTGAGGCAGTGTTGAGGCAGCGTTGGGCAGTGGGGTGAGGCAGATTAAGCAGGGGTGAGGCAGCTGTTGAGGGGGAGCGATTGAGGCGGGTTGAGGCAGGTTTGAGGGGACATTTGGGCAGTGGGTAAAGGGAGCGTTGAGGAGCGATTGATGCGTGGGTGAGGCAGCTGTTGAGGCAGTGCATGGGGAGCTTTTTGGGAGGATTAAATTTGGGCCCCCTTTTACGGGTTTTCACTGGAGGGCTTAAGGGGGGGTTTGAGGGGCGTTAAAATTTAACAATTACGGGTTTGAGGGGGAAAAAGGGGGGGGTTTGAGAAATTTAAAAGGGGACTTTGGGGGAGGATTGGGAGGTTGGGGCCATTATTGGGAGCTTTGGGGGATTGAAGGCGGTTTTTGGGGGGGAGGAGTTTTTAGGCAATTGGGATTTAGGCGGGGTTTGGGGGGGAAAATTAGGAGGTGTGGAGTTTTAAGGTTGGGGCAGAGGGGGGGGTTTTGAGGGGCTTGGGAGGGGAAAAAAGGGGAGGAGCATTACATGGGGGAGGAGCGGGGCCCGGTTGGGAGGAGTGGGTGGGAGTTGGGGGAAGGTTTTGGGGGGAGCTTTTGGGAGCGTTGGGGAGTTTGGGGGAATTTGGGGGGGAACCTTTTGGGGATTGGGGGGAAATTTTGGGGGTTGGGACGTTACAAATGGGGACTTTTGACCCCGGGATTGGGGGCAGGCCTAGGGGGGGTTTGGGAGGATTTTGGGGGGGTTTTGGGACTTTAGGAAGCTTTGGGGCCTTTTTTGGGGGCCCCTTGAAAAAATGGGCGGGTTGGGGGGGGTGGAGTGGTAAAACTTTTGGGGATTTTTTTTTAAAATACTGTTTTTAAAAAACAGTTTTAAAAAAAAAAAAATTTTTAAAAAATTTTAAAAAATAAAAAAAAAATTTTTTTTTTTTAATTTTAAAAAGGGCAGGGGAAAATTCCCAGCAAAAACAAAGCCAAGCGATTTAAACCCCCCGATTTTGAAAAATTTTTTTAAAATTTTTAAATTTTTAAAAATTTTAAAATTTTATTTTTTAAAAAAAATTGAATTTTTACATTGTTTTTAATGAAAAATGTTTGATTTTTGGGGTTTTAAGAAAAAAATTGTGGTAGAATCCCCCCTGATTAATAGCAGTCGGGGTTTTCCCCTTTTTTTTTAGAATGCAAAAAAGACAAAAAAAACCCCAAAATTTTTGGGGGGGGCCCCTTTTCCTTTGGGGGGCGGAGGGGGTTGGGGGGTGCGGGGGGGGAATTTGGGGGCTTTGGGGGAGCCCCGGTTTTTAAAAAAACTGTTAAAAATTTAAACTTTAATAATTTATTTTCTTTTTTACACGTTTTCTTATTTTTTGATTGCAGGGTTTCCCAAAAAGGGAAAAAGCAATTGTTTAACCCCAAAAATTTTCAAAACATCCTTTTTCAACATTCCACTTTACCCAATGCGAAGTTGGGGGCCCCTGTTTTTTAAAAAAAAAAAAATTAAAAAATAAAATTTTTAAAATTTTTAAAATGTTAAAAAATTTTTTAAATTTAATTTTTTTTACAAAATTTTAAAAACTCCTACATAACCTAACCAACCCCCCTCCCCCTTCCACCTATAAATTTTTTTTAAAAAAATAACTTACTTACACCTTTTTTAAAAATTTCTAAATAAAAAATTTTTTGGGTTGAAAATTTTTTTAAACCTTTTTTTAAAAATGGGGGAAAAACCAAAAAAAAGGTAAAACTGTACCAAAAAAAACAAAAAAATATTTAAAAAATGTTGCAATAAGTAAAGTTTTTTTAAACCCCAAAAAATTTAAAGGTTTTCAAAAGAACCGGTCGAAAGTTGGGTGCTTTTTTTTTTTAAACCCCGACTTTTGGAAAACTTCGAAAAACCAATTTGATGCATTTTTAAAAAAAAATTTTCCCCCCAATTAAAAACCCCCCCTTCCGGCATTCGCTTTTTTAAATTCCACTTGGGGAAACCCATGTGCCTTTTTTAAAAGCGCCGGTGTGCACGACAAGGCATTTTTACACCTTTTCACTTTTTTTTGGTCTTGTTTTTCAAAATAATAACACCCCGGGTTTTCCCAATTAAAAAAGGCCCAAAATTTTTAAATTAAAAAAGGGAATAATTAAAGGGAAAAAAGGAATTGCGGGTCGGGGCCGGTTGTTGAACCCCTTTTCCCCCCCCTTTTAATTTGGGGGGGAAAAAGGAAATTTAAAAGGGGAAAAAGGGTCAAAAAAAACGAGACCCTAGTGTTAGAAGATGTTGGGAACTGTTTGGTGTGGAAAAAAAAAACATGCAGGAATAGCATCCTTAAGTGATATTTTGAAAAGGCTAGGGAGTTTTTATGATGATTTGGTAAGAAATTGCCTGCAAAATAGTGCTGATTGAGTGACTTTAAGGCCCAGCAAAGGTTGGTTTGAAAAAATTTAAGAATCATAGTGGGATACATAGTGTGAAAGGCGGTGAGGCTGCCATTCGGCCACAAACGGGGCCTGAAAAATATGGGCATGAATTCAAAGGGGAAAAAATAGAGGCTGAAGGATTGAAACCCGAACAAATTTTTAAATTGACAAACAGGCGGGGTTTTTGGGAAAAATTTCCCAAAACAGGACCTACGTTACTCGGAGGAAAAAGGGACCAAAAGGACATAAGCCTAGAAAAAAGGCTTACTCTGTTTAAAGTTGCCAATGCAGGGTGATTGCAAAGTGAAGCCTTTATTGGTGTATCACTCTGAAACTCCCAGGTTTCAGGCAAGAGAATGTCCCCAAGGTAATTTTTGTGTGAAGAAAAAATTCTGTTCCACTTCCCCATAGAGGGAAGAAAAAAACAAAACAAAAACTAGTAAGAAAATAAAGAAAACCCCGAGGGGTGTGTTATTTATATGCTTTTACAGTATGTGTAGGGACCTAAGGTAAATAGAAGTGCAAATGTACCCGAAAAACCCTTTCTGTTTATGAACAGAAAAATGGACACCAGCAATCCTACCACAGTAAAAACAAATTAAGGCTTTCGTTTTAACCACTTGGGAGGAGTAGTACCCCTGGGGCGGGTTTCTGTCTACCCCAAACCCACACCTAGAAAAGCTTATCTATTTTGTTTTCGGGAAATATTTTTACTTCAATCAACCCCTTTGGTATCCTTTTCCCCCTAAAAAAACTGCCTGTGCCTAAAAATATTTTTTGTAGTTATATGTTGATTAATGTGCACAACCTCCCTTTTCCCTTTCTCTTTTAATGAAACCCAATCAACCCCAAAAACCCCCCCATTCCCCCCACACCACGGGGCCCCACCCAAAACCCCCACAGAAAACTTTTCCCCCCAAACCTTTCCCCCAAAAAAACCTCCCCTCGGGGCCCCCCCCGCCCCCCAAATTTTTCCCCCGCCAACCCCCCACCCCAAATAAAAACTTCCACCCCCACCCCCCTTTTCCCCAAAATACCCAATGCCCCACCAAAAACGCCCCCAAATTAACCCAAAACCCAACCCCCCTTCCCCCACCCCTTTACCCCTCCACCCCCCCCCACCCCAAAATCACCCCCCCCTTTCCCCTCCAAACCCCACCCCACACCCCCCACCTTTTTCCCCCATCCCCCTCCAAACACCCCCCAAACCCCCACCCCCCCTCCCCACCCCTTCCACCAAACCCAAACCCCTAGCCCCCTTCCTCTTCCCCCCCCTTAACCCCAAACCCAAACCCCCCCCCCCACCAAAACCCCTGCACCCAACCCCCCCCCAAAAAAAACCCCAACCCCCCGCCCCCCAAAACCCCCCCCCCCCAAACCCCCACCCCAACCCCCAAAAACCCCAACCCCACACCCCAACCCAACCCCCCCAAAACCCCCACCCCCCCAACCCCCCCCCCAACCCCCACCCCAACCCTACCCCCAACCCCCCTACCCCAACCCCCCTCCCCCCCCCCCTCCACACCCCTACCCCCCCCCCCCCACCCCCCCTCCCCCCAAAACCACCCCCCCCACCCCAAACCCCCTACAACCCACACCCCAACCCCATACACCCCACCTTAAAACACACCCCACCCCACCCACCCCCCCCCCCCCCCCACACCACACACTAACCAATCCCCTTCTTTTATTAACACTAGTACACTTCTAAAGTGGGACAACTGAACATAAGGCACCTCTGTTACCAGAGATGTGGATGCGGATCTTTGATGCACATCCTATTTGACCTACATCACATTATCATTATTGTTTTTTGCAATCTTGAATTAAAAATCGGTTGTCCATTTTGGGGGGTCAAGAAACAGCTTTTTTCCCTAATTCTTCGTTCTTTTCCAAAAGATTTTTTATTACATACCTTTTCAAAACGTATTAAAATTAACCAGTGTCAACTGTAGTACTGTATTAATTGTTGTTAGGTAAGACACATATGCAACATTTTGGTATCTTTTTTTCGAAACGTTTCGCCTACACAGTAGGGCTTCTTCTCGAAGTGTAGGCGAAACGTTCGAAATAAAGATACCTAACTGTTGAATGGTCTTACCCACAACTTCGGTATTTTTATACCATTTTTAAAGTTCACTATAATTGTTAAAAAAATTTCATGCATTTTTCTTTTTCCCAAAACATTGCCCAAAATTTAAAACTTTTCAAAAAAAATAATATTGGGTTTTTCCCTTTTTACAAAAACTAGCATATTTGTGTATTTCTGAATTTAATTTGATATTGATCTATTTCTAGGGTTGGTGTAAAACAGTAAGTTTTGGGGCCCCTGCTGTGGGGGAGGGGGTCTGCTGATGGGACCAGTAGACAGGGAACTGCAGTCCCAAGCATTGTCACTGGTGGTGTGACGCATGTTTAAAATATGGGAAAAACATAGTGCCACTGGGGAGTGGATAGAAGAACTTAAGTTAGAGGGACATTCAGATTGGGTGCGAGATGTTGCCTGGGCACCTTCTATTGGTCTTCCTCGTTCCATCATTGCCTCTTGCTCTCAGGTGGAGTGTCAAGTTGATTGTTTCATTGCTGATGGTACACTGTATTATGCTGGAGATGGGAAGGGTTTATAGAAGAAAAAATTTCACTTGTTCGAGTTTTGTAGGAATAGTGTGGCTGGAAAAGATCATGTACTCGATGATTATTGTGTAGTATACTACATGTACTCTGTTACAGAATATGGTATGGCAATTATTGATTGAATATTATTTAACTTGGTTAAATATTGACAAAACATATTTATGAATTACGTCAAATGTACAAGACAAATGGTTTTTGGAACATGATAAGCTGTTGAAGTGTGAGCAAGGTAACATTTTGTGAAGGGATTCAAGGAAACCAGTTAGCTGGACTTGAGCCCTGGAGGTGGGAAGTACAGTAGCTACACTCTGATAGGGCTGTGGGGATATTTGTAGTTTGGAAGGGCATCTGAGCTGTAGTATATGTGCACCTCTGGCAAAACATTTATAGAGTGAATGATGGTGAAAATGTTTCTCTTTTGGGTCACCCTGTCCCGGTGGGAGATGACCCTGTGTGTGTTGCGTGTGTGTGCATGTGTGTTACAAATGCACGTGTGTAGCTGTGTGTGTGTGTGTGTGTGTGCGCGTGTGTTGCTTGTGTGTGTGCGTGTGTTGCTTGTGTGTGTTGCATGTGCATGTGTTGCATGTGCATGTTGTGTGTGTGTGTGTGTTGCATGTGTGTGTGCTTGCGTGCATGTGCACACACACATTCACTTGACACGACTTGACTTACTGTCTGTTTAATGTTTGATTTTTTGCTAATATTAGATATTTTCACTTAATTCTCTAACAAATTTGTGAGTGTTGGATACAATATGAAACCATTACATGTACTTGTACTTTCAAGGAAGTATTTAGCTGAACCACTATTCCTTGTGGTTTTTTAGTTACACTCATGTTGCAATGCCACTTGGTTTTCTCCATTTTTTCTTCTGTTGAATCTTGATTTCTTTTAACCCTTTCAGGGTCGAGAGGCCCTCTCCTAAACTTGTTCTCAGGGTCGAAAATTTTTCGGAAAAAAACAAAAAAAATTCTTGTGAAATGATGAAGAATCTTTTCCCGATCATAGTGACACCAAAAGTATGAAATTTGATGGAAAACTTACGGAATTATGCTCTCACGAAGTTAGCGGTCTTGCCGATGTTTATGCATTGGTGATTTCGCCCACTTTGAGCCCTATTTTCGACCAATTCCTGTGTACTAGTCGACAAAAATCATATTTATTTCGCTAGAACTCCATTTTTTTCTATCGAATGTGTACAAGAAACTACCCATTTACCAATTTCAAATATCCAATAAAGTGGTTAGAAATTGGCAATTTTGCCAATTTCACAAAAATTTCAGAAGATGCCAATTTCCAAATAGGTTCCAGAATAAACAAGACAGACATTCCTGGCACTAAAATAACAAGTTCTCTGTTCGTTAGTCACGTCCCCAGGCCCCTCTTATATTTCTTTTGCTTTCCACTTTGAATTTTTATTCTTACAAAAAGTAGAAGATTTACTGTTATGCAGCCTAGTGCATTAGTGTAGAAATGGTATAAATAATATCAGTGCACTTGTGAAACAATATTAGACTCACCAGTTGATGTGTATTGGATGCTTGGCATGATTTGTTTACTTTTGAACTTTGGTAAAAATCGAACATTTCTGCTACTTTGAGCTCAGTTTCAAGGTACTTTTCATAGTGAAACCAATCAAAATCATCTCAATTCCTGTAATATGTCTTCAGTTCTATAAAATGAGACCAGGAAAACTAGAATACTACAACCATAAATAACATACGAAAATACAGTGCAGAGTCGCTGTTTTAATCCAAAAACATGGTCAAAGTTTTTTTTTTTTCTCATTACGCACTGTGTGCTGCAGGATTTTTTTTATACTGCACACACTGACCACACAGACCCATTCTTTCATATGTAGGCCTACCAGCTTTCGCTAGATTTGAAGGCGCTAGAATTTAGGCGCTCTAGTACGTCAAAAACCCTGGTGCGTAAGCCGAACTAGTACGTTGAAAACCCTGAAAGGGTTAAAGTTTCATTACCATATACTTTCCATGTGTGTGTGTGTCTTTTGGAGTTACTTTTCATTTATTCTGTTTCCAGTTAGAAGCAAGTTCATCTATTTACATATGAGAGTAACACCACCATTAACTCTTAAAATAATTTTGCAGATTTAGGTGCTCTTTCAAGAAACTAAATAAGAAAAGACAGGTGCACAGCAAGCTTTTGTTGTGACATTTTGCTCTTTGTAAAGGTTCAGGTCATAGACTTCATAGATTGAAATATCACAAAAAAAAAAAATCCTCTGTACCTGTGTTTTCTTTATGTATTACTAACAATAGTGTACCTCTTGTATCCAATTTTCACAATGAATGCACTTTGAAATGTTTGTTGAAGATTCTGTACGAGTAGGTGAATGAACGTGTACAAGCATACTAGCCAACATGTTTCTTATTTCAGGATCGTAGAGTGATTATCTGGACAAATGATGGAGTGACAGGTGTTTGGCAACCAAGAGAACTGAATACTTTTGACGATGTCATCTGGCATGTTAGTTGGTCTGTTACTGGTAATATATTAGCTGTTTCTGGAGGTGATAATAAGGTTAGTCCCCAGTTCAACATTCCTACAACTTTAGTAGACAGTTCTGTGTACAATACCAAAAGTTTGAATGATTATTTTCAAAAAAGTTTACTTTCTTTAATTGTGTTTATTTTGCTCTCAATCACTTTAGTAAGATTTAACATTTGTAAACACTCTCAACACAACTTTAAAAAATTATGAAAAATGTTGGTACTCTCATGTCAGAATGGAGTTTCTTGCTTGTTTATGGTAATTTAAGAATGGCATGGTTGTCATTACAATACAACAGTATACAATACAATTTTTATTTCTTTGCAAGTTTACATTGAGATTCTGTAGTTTACAATAATGAGTTGCAGGGCAAAGAGTGCCACTATCATGCCATGGCATTACGGGCAGACTAAATTAATGGCTTACAGACTACTTAATACTAGAGAGTAAATATTTCCTAAATATTCTAGAAAAAAAACCATACCACGAGCGGGTTAGAACCCGTGATCAGAGTCTCAAAACTCCAGACTGTCGCGTTAGCCACTGGGCCAGCTAGCCACAATAAGATTCATCCAACTAGGTATATTTATACACCATAGGAAGGTTAGCATAGGCACCCCTGTGACCACAAATGCAAGTTTTTACAGGCGAATCTCCAGCTAGTGTGGCCACGATGAACTCTAGCTCAAGTCCATTCAAAGCCATCAACATGACTCATGAAATCGTAATGGTATGGTTTGTTTGCAATCATGTCATTACGATTTCTTGAGTTATGTTAAATATTCTAGATTTTATAACTCCTTGGAGTAACCTAAATGTTGGCTGCAAATCCCATACTTTGCACAGCATTTTGATAAATATGACAATGTAAATTCTGAACGTTTATAAAATATTTGTAATAACTTAACCCTTAACGGTCCAAATGTACATATACGTTCTCTCGCGTAGCGCCCCAAACATATATGTACGTTTCATTTGTCATTCATTCAACATTGGCACGATAGGCCTGAGTTGCCTAGACATGAGAGAACGGATGTGCGCACTCAGTGTGCACCATATGAAAAAAATTGAGGATGCCTAGGTACCACATGCTCTTTTTTCCTATATATATATTTTTTTTTTTTTTTTTCTCAAAAGATTCGGGGCGCTACACGAGAGAACGTATATATACATTTGGACCATTTAAGGATTAAATAAGCATTTTAAATCATCTGTTTGTATATAAGGTGGCCCTGCCTTTCTCATTTTTACTTTTTGCCAAAGCACTTCATTTAGCTCCTGTATTCAAGGCTTGCTGAGTGGTTGATATTTAATAATAAGCCTCACATATTCAATAGTAGTATAAAATTAAGAAACTTCAAAATATTTATCACTTTCGGTTCTTTTATGGATAAAAGTGCCTGTGTGACGTGCTTAAAAATAGCTTTATTTTGGTCAGTGAATCATAAAATTGACAAGGGGAAAAAGATGAGTGGTGCACTGAGGAGTCTGTGGAGACAAAGAACTTTATCCATAGAAACAAAGAGGGGGAATGTATGAGAGTATAGTTACACCAGTGCTCTTATATAGGTGTGAAGCATGGGTGGTGAATGTTGCAACAAGGAGAAGGATGGAGGCACTGAAGATGTTGTGTCTGAGGGAAACGTGTGATGTGAACATAATGCAGGGAATTCGAGTTTGGAAATTAGGAGGAGGTGTGGGATTACCAAAACTATTATCCAGAAGACTGAGGAGGGGTTGTTGATGTGGTTTGGACATGTAGAGAGGGATGGAACAAAATAGAATGACTTAGAGAGTGTATAAATCTGTAGTGGAGGGAAGGTTGGGTAAGGGTTGGCCTAGGAAAGGTTGGTGGGAGGGGATAAAGGTTTTGTGTGTGAGGGGCCTGGACTTCCAGCAAGCATGTGTGAGGGTGTTAGATAGGAGCGAATGGAGACAAGCAGTTTTTAGGAGTTGACTTGCTGTTGGAGTGTAAGCAAGGTAACATTTATGAACGGATTCAGGGAAGCCGGCAGGCCGGACTTGAATCCTGGAGATGGGTAGTACAGTGCCTGCACTCTGAAGGAGGAGTGTTAATGTTGCAGTTTTATAACTGTAGTGTAAAGCATCCCTCTGGCAAGACAGTGATGGAGTGAATGATAATGAAAGTTTTTCTTTTTCAACCCACCCTACCTTGGTGGGAATCAGCTGATGTATTAATAAAAAAAAATAATAATCAGTGATTGAAATGGCCTTGGTGGATGTACGTAGGTACATGGCTGTGTTCCTACTTTACAATTTCCAAAACATGTACAGTACCTACTTCTTAAACCCATTTTGTTCACTTTGTGAAAACATTGGTATACTTAGAGGAAATGTTCAGATAATATTCAAAGTAAAAGGACACAAGTGCAACTAATGTGACATTTTATTGTGGCAACGTTTCGCTCTCCAGGAGCTTTATCAAGCTTGATAAAGCTCCTGGAGAGCGAAACGTTGCCACAATAAAATGTCACATTAGTTGCACTTGTGTCCTTTTACTTTACATATTGTCGGTAATTCTACCAACTTTATTACAAGATAATATTCAGTTATAAATGGCATTAGGCCACAACTTCTTAGTTTTAAAAACACAAGTGTGGCAAATCACAACTGCTTTGATAATAAAATAAAAAAAAAACTTGTTGCCACCATCCCTGCCTTCCAGGCGCTGGTTAGGAAACTGACATGTTTCTGTATTTTAACTGATTTTTTTTTTTATATAAATTAAGGATGCAGTAGGGACTGTATCTGATGCATTCACTTATCTGAAGGTTCAGTCTAAAAGTTTTTACCATATTAACATAGGATTGTTATGAGAACATCCCTTATTCTCGGTATTCATGTATTATTTATTTAAACAAGCGAGTTGGAAAGTTCAAATAATTTTACAGATACTGTATTTATTTTCTCTCTCTCTCTCTCTTGAACCATTAGGTGAGCTTATGGAAGGAAAGCTTAGAAGGGCAGTGGGTGTGTCTGAGTGATTCTGCCAAGGGACAACCGTCTTCTGAGCAACGTACTCTTTAGTGGTAACCATTAGTAACAGTATTGTAAGCTGTTTGGCCATGTCACCAGTGTAAATAGTGGCACACAAATATTTTTTAAGAAAATGTTTGATGTTACATGAAAATTCAGGCTTTTATTGGTAGGTTACTTACGTTTAAGTGTATTATGATAATGACGTAAATTACCAAGACAATTTTTTCTTTTTATGACATTTAAAATAAGTTATTGATGATCATAATACAGAAAAATGCAAGGTTAAATGTTATACACACAATTTAAATGCAGGTGTCCAAAATATGCATAGTTTTTTATAATAAGTAGTAAGATATTTGTATACTTTTGAAGAAGTGTTACAGGAACACCGTTGAACACTTATTTACATTTTACATAAAAACTCAAAATCCTTATTGCTGTGTGCATATTTCTGGTCAGTGTTGTATTTTGTGTTCCTATATGCATGTTGAAGATAATTATATTAGTTACTTTAGGTAAATTGAATAATATGGTCGCTATACTGAAGGAAAATAATAATTTTGGAATAACAAAGTGTTTGTTTTAAACCTATGACTACACAATGTGCAGAATAAGTTTTTAGTATTAGCGAAAGTGGGAAATGACAATTTTTGGATAGTTCCTTCCTCTCCATTCTTTTTTTTTTTTTTTTTTTTTTTTTTTTTTTTTTTTTTTAACACAAGGTTTCAGAAGATTAGGTTTAGGGTTCTTAACTTTATTTACAAGCTAAGAGCTGCTACCTACATCAGCTGATTTTAAAGCCTTTTTATTGTTATGAGACATACAAGTAGGGAAGAAGATGAAATTGGAGCCATCTGTGGGCCAGCAATTTCATTTGCTCATTAGACTTTATTTTGTTGATGTTGTTATGCTGTACAAACATGTTCCAGACTTCAGTCATCCTAGGAATAAATGACCTTGGATGAAGTGATGTTCTTGAGAAAGGTACAACAAGAGTGTAGTTGCTGCTTGCTGCCCATCTTGTGTGAAAGCTCGCTTCTCGCTGTGCACAGAGTGGAGCCGAGTATGGTACTTTGACAATACTGGCCTTGTACATAACAGTAAGACCACCCACATCCCTCCTGTGTTGCTCTGTTCTGTCTTGCTCTGTTCTCAATTCAGCTGAAAAGTCACAGATGAGACTGGGGCAGGCAATCAAAGAAAGTGGAGCATACTCAAGGTGTGAGTGTACTTGTGCCTCGTAGAGAATCTTCCAGCCAGTACTGTCTAGCAGATGTGAGATATATCAAGGTGCTGTAAGCTCGCTCTCTCTCTCTCTCTCTCTCTCTCTCTCTCTCTCTCTCTCTCTCTCTCTCTCTCTTTTCTCTCTCTCTCTCTTCTCTCTCTCTCTTTTCTCTCTCTCTCTTTTCTCTTCTCTCTCTTTTCTCTCTCTTTTCTCTCTCTCTCTTTTCTCTCTCTCTCTTTTCTCTCTCTCTTTTTCTCTCTCTCTCTTTTTCTCTCTCTCTCTTTTCTCTCTCTCTCTTTTCTCTCTCTCTCTTTTTCTCTTCTCTCTCTTCTCTCTCTCTCTCTCTCTCTCTTTTCTCTCTCCTCTTTTCTCTCTCTCTCTTTTCTCTCTCTCTCTTTTCTCTCTCTTTTCTCTCTCTCTTCTCTCTTTTTCTCTCTCTTTTCTCTCTCTCTTTTCTCTCTCTCTCTTTCTCTCTCTTCTTCTCTCTCTCTCTCTTTTCTCTCTCTTTTCTCTCTTTTCTCTCTCTTCTTTCTCTCTCTCTCTCTTTCTCTTCTCTCTTTTTCTCTTCTCTCTTCTTCTCTCTCTCTCTTTCTCTCTTCTTCTCTCTCTCTCCTCTCTTTTCTTCTTTCTTCTCTTCTTCTCTCTCCTCTTTTCTCTTCTCTCTCTCTTTCTCTCTCTTTTCTCTCTTTCTCTCTTTTCTCTCTCTCTCTCTCTTTTCTCTCTCTTTTCTCTCTTTTCTCTCTTCTCTTTCTCTCTCTCTTTTCTCTCTCTCTTTTCTCTCTTCTTTTTCTCTCTCTCTCTCTTTTTTCTCTCTCTCTCTCTCTCTTTCTCTTCTCTCTTCTCTTTTCTCTCTCTCTTTTCTCTCTCTTTTCTCTCTTCTCTCTCTCTTTCTCTCTTCTTTCTCTCTTCTTCTCTCTTTTTCTCTCTCCTCTTTTCTCTCTCTTCTTTTCTCTCTTTTCTCTCTTCTCTCTCTTTTCTTCTCTTTTCTCTCTCTCTCTTTTTCTTTCTCTCTCTCTCTCTTTTCTCTCTCTTTTCTCTCTTTTCTCTCTTTTTCTCTCTCTTCTTTCTCTCTCTTTTCTCTCTCTCTTTTCTCTCTTTTCTCTTCTTTTTCTCTTTCTCTCTCTTTTCTCTCTCTCTTTTCTCTCTCTCTTTTCTCTCTCTTTCTCTCTCTCTTTTTTCTCTCTCTTTTTTTCTCTCTCTTTTTCTCTCTCTTTTTCTCTCTCTTTTTTTCTCTCTCTCTTTTCTCTCTCTCTTTTCTCTCTCTCTCTTTTCTCTCTTTTTTTTTACACAGAGAGTAACTGCTTCTTTAACACAGTTAAGGTACGAACAGATGTCTTCTTCGAGGGGCCAGGCCGAGGTTTGGCAGACGGTAACTCAACACCACCACCAGCCTTGAAACTCTGCACCTAGTTCCTCACTGAACGCTCACACACACACCCTAACAATCTCCACTCTTTCTTTCGTCTAGTGCCCAGTTTTGTGAAACCCTATGATTTAAGCTATAGTTTCAGGTGTTAAAGACTTCCTTTTACTCATAATCAAACATGTATAGCCCCAAAACCAAAGGAAACACTGGACAAAAGATTGGACGGATGAAGACAACAGTCCAACACTTCCTCTCACCATGGCAGCCACGTGAGCAATGAGAAGTCATTGTGAAGTGTGGCTGAAGGCCATGACATCATGCTAATGGCTGCTACCCAGCAGACTACAGTGACGAAAAAAGCCCCTTGTATGGTAGGCCTTTGATTTTCGTCACAGCATTATGCTGGGGCGCTCACCCGACATAATGCCGTGACGAGCACTGTACATCATAAGTTCATCTCTGCTCAGATAAGCTGTGAGCAGCCTACGTATCGAGAATGCCTCTGTGCAATGAGTGTTTACTAGAAGTTTACCTGGAGAGGGTTTCAGGGGTCAACTCCCCCGCAGCCCAGTCTGAGACCAAGCCTCATGGTGGATCAGGGTCTGATCAACCAGGCTGTTACTGCTGGCACGCAAGCTGACATTCAAACCACAGCCCGGTTGGTCAAGTACTGACTTTATGTGCCTGTCCAGCACCTTCTTGAAGACAGCCAAGGGTCTGTTGGTAATCCCCCTTATGTATGCTGGGAGGCAATTGAACAGTCTTGGGCCCCGGACACTTATTGTGTTGTCTCTCGGTGTACTCGTGGAGCCCCTCTTCATCAGGGAAATGTTGCATCTCCTGCCGAGTCTTTTGCTTTCATAGGGAGTGATTTTCATGTGCAGGTTTGGTACCAATCCCTCCAGGACCTTCCAAGTGTATATTATCATATATCTCTCTCGCCTGCATTCGAGGGAATACAGATCAAGGACCTTCAATCGTTCCAAGTAGTTTAGGTGCCTTATCGTGCTTATGTGTGCCATGAAAGTTCTATGTACACTTTCCAGATCTGCAATGTCGCCAGCCTTGAAGGGGACCAGTATTCCAGCCTAGAGAGCACAAACTATTTAAAGAGAATCATCATGGGCTTGGCATCCCTAATTTTGAAGGTTCTCATTATCCATCCTATCACTTTCCTAGCGGATGAGGTAGATACATTGTTGTGGTCTTTGAAGGCGAGATCCTCTGACATTATCACTCCCAGGTCCTTCACATTACTTTTCTGCTCTATTGTATGGTTAGAATTTTTGGAATACCCTGACACATTTTTAATTTCTTCAAGTTCCCCTTATCTGAGTAGTTGAAATTTCTCCTCGTTGAACTTCATATTGTTTTGAGTGGCCCATTCGAAGATTTGAATGATGTCCGCTTGGAGTCTCGCGGTGTCTTCGATGGAGGTCACTGCCATGGTGATCCGGATGTCATCCGCAAAGGAGGACACGGAGCTATGGCTTACATCTTTGTCTATGTCAGAAATGTGGATGAAGAATAGAATGGGAGCGGGTACTGTGCCTTGTGGAACAGAGCTTTTTACTGTGGCTGCCTGGGACTTTACTCTGTTTACTATTAATCTTTGTGTTCTATTTGTCAGGAAGTTGTAGATCCATCTACCAACTTTTCCTGTTATTCCTTTATCCCGCATTTTGTGTACTATTACACCATGGTCACACTTGTCGAATGCTTTTGCAAAGTTTGTGTATGCTACATCTGTATTTTGTTTATCCTCTACAGCATCCAGGACCTTGTCATAGTGGTCCAGTAGCTGGGACACGCAGGAGCGACCTGCTCTAAACCCGTGTTGCCCTGGGTTGTGTTTGTGTAATTGATGGGTATCTAGGTGGTTGGCTATCTTGCTTCTTAGAACCCTCTCAAAGATTTTTATGATGTGGGATGTTAGTGCTATTGGTCTGTAGTTCTTGGCAATTGCTTTGCTGCCTTCTTTGTGGAGTGGGGCTATATCTGTTGTTTTTAGTGCGTGTGGGATGACCCCTGTGTCCATGCTCCCTCTCCATAAAATGCTGAAGGCATGTGATAGGGGCTTCTTGCAATTCTTGATGAACACGGAGCTCCACGAGTCTGGGCCTGGGACAGAGTGCATGGGCATGTCATTAATTGTCTCTTAAAAGTCTTGTGGAGTTTGAATAATATCCGAGATTTTTGGGATGACCAAATTTTGGGTTTCGTTCATAAAGAATTCATTTGGATTGCCAACCCTTAGTCTGGGCAGTGGTTCACTGAACACCGAGTCATATTGGGGCTTAAGTATCTCACTCATTTCTTGGCTATCATCTGTGTATGTCCCATCCCGCCTAAGCAAGGCCCCAATACTGGATGTTGTTTTCCCTTAGATTTGGCGTAAGAGAAGATTTTTTTTTTTTCAATTTCCTTTATGGCTTTTAGTTCTTCCTGTGATTCTTGTCTCCTCTAAGATTCCTTCAGCTTAAGTTCGATATTTGCAATTTCATTGATTAGTGCCTGCACAGTATAAAAAAATCCTTTCCCACTCGGGACTTTGGGGAGTTTTCTAGGATGATTTTTGTGGTTTTATTGGCTGTTTCTTGGTGTCATTTGATAGAAGAGGTGACTTAGTACTAAAACAGAGATAATTTTAACTGGTTCCAGTACTGGAAGTAGCTTGAAATCAGCCTCAAAGTAGCAGAAATAATCGATTCAATTATTGGGATGCTATAAACCATGACCAATCATTTCTGGTTATAATTTATTATCCAATAAATATCCACATCTTCAATTTTTTTTTTTTTTTATACTGGGTTCAGAATGGAAGGGGAAATCAGAGTGGGGGCACATCACAAGCGGTGTTCCACAGGGGTCAATGCTGGGCCCTTTGTTATTCACAATTTACATAAACGACATAGATGAGGGAATAAATAGTGACGAGCAAAATTGCTGATGACAACAAAATAGGTCGTCAGATTCATGCTA